TAGCCCAAACAATATTAGCGTAGGAGAGATGACAATGAACAAGAGTGAAGTAAAACATTTTGCGTGATTTAAAATCAAGAAGATGTTTTTGCTTTAATGAGACTAATATGTTTTTTCCATGATAGGTTCTCATCAAATATTATTCCCAAAAACATTGAATCATTTGCACAGTTTATTTCTTTTTTATTGATTGACAGTTTTAGCAACTTTAACGGAAGATAAGTGTTTGTCTTATTTTATGGAAGAAAGTAAAACTTTTTTTTTTTAATTTAATGATAATTTATTAGCTTAAAACCATTGGTTCATTATTTTGAACAATGTTTTTACGTCTGCATGCACAATTGACAATATTTTAAGAGAAGCTTCATTCATATCAATAATATATATATATTAAAAATAATAAAGCTCCCAAAATTAATCCCTGTGGAATTCCCCAAACAATATCAAGAGCTCCTGACTCCTCCAAGACAACAAACTGTTTTCTTTTAAAAAGATAACTTTTAACCCACTTATATGGTAGGCCTTTAATGCTGTAATTTTTTAACTTTGAAAGTAAAATTCCGTGATCAACAGTGTCGAATGCCTTAGAGAGATTGATACTCCTAGCACTTTAAAAGTTTACCTTTTAAATATTTTTGAAAAAACAAGGAATAGTGACATAGGGCGGTAGTTGCAAACAGAAGAACAATCACTAATTTTAAAAAATGGGTGAATTTTAAAAAAAGGCTAATTTTAACTTATCAGGAAAATACTATTCTAAATTAAAAATGCTAAAAAATAAAATAATGGTTTACTTATACTAACCATAACATAGAGACATTACTTGTAATGTTGTCATTTCATTTTATTTCATTTTTTCACTTATTATAGTTTTGTTATTATTAATTACTTTTTTTAGGAAAAAGGAGAGTTTCTTTTTCTCTCTTCCAGTTACTTCATTTATAGTAGACCAAGTTTTCTTGACATCAAACTTATTTTTATCCAGCTGGTTAGAATAGTTACAATAGTACTTTATAATAAGTTAGTTAGAATAAAACTTTATTTAAGCTTGTTGTAAGTTGTTTTGATAAAACTTTTTTTATGATATTTACGCATTTTCGTCATTTTCTTTTTTAGATTTTTATATAAAGCTTTTCTTTTCTTTTTGACGATTTTATCAAATTATTTGTCATTTTTGGGTTTTTAAGTTGTTCGTTTTTTATTTCAATGGTTAATTTTGGACAAACATTGTCATAAACATTTTTAAAAATATTCAAAAAATTGTCAAACGCGCTATTGGGGTCTGAAGAGGAATAGACATTTTCCCATCGCTCTTTGTACAGTTATTTTTAAGTTTATCTAGGCTTCTAAAACAAAGATTTCTATAAGTAACAAATATTTTTATTGCCATCATTAGATATGATAGATAGGAAAATGATCAGAAAAATCTGTAATAAAAACACCTGATTATAATGATGCCTGATCATTTGACACAATTCCTAATCATTTGAGCAGTTGACACTAATAGACCTGACAACTTCGTTAGGTACTTCGTTCTATGGGTGAGCAACGTTGTTGTTGGAAAAGTTGAAGCAAACGAGACATTTGCTGTTAATATCAGAACAAAACACAAGTAGCATTTGACTTTTTAAGCAAAAGAGAGAATCATAGTGTCGCAAAATTTAGGCAAATTAGCCGCCTGTTCTCTACCAAGACCCGGCCAGTAAACATATGTTTGAGTATTTGCATGCACTCAATACGTGTTATTTACTGTACTCAAAATGAGTAATTTGAAGGAATGTGGATCAGAAGGGCCTCAAATAATTCCCGTGAAGCTGAGCTAAATAAATTTTGAAGTGATTCGTCAGAGTCAGAATAAGGAACTCTATCTTACAGTGTGGAATTTGATATTTATCTTGGTAAAAATTAATGCAAAGCTTTAAAAGTCAGAATTAAATAACTTTTGACAAAGTAAGTACTGATTTTTTTTTTCCACAAAAATTATGCACTTTATGTTTTTTAGCTATTAAAGAAATACTATTAAAGAATTTTTGACAGTAATTTAATCTGAGAGATCTAATTTAAAAAGGGTTTGCGTGTAAAAAAGAAAAAGCTTCAAAGAAAATGTTTCAAGAAAAAAAAGACTTTCCAATTATATAAACAACTTTATTAATAATGTTCAGATTTAAATGTTTACCAACTATTAAGTGACCTCTTACATAAATAATACAAAATACTGCACTTTTTATCAACCATTTAAAAGAAAATTTTAACACAGATAACTCTTAAAAAAGTTTAACACATTTATATACTATCTACAACTTTTTAAATCTTCTGTCAACTGCTCCCTTCTTTATGATGATGTTATTGTTTTAAAACGATCCGCAGCACAAAAGCAGTATTCGAAAGCGGGTATTTGGCTCTTCTTCGTTGAAACGGAGAAGCTAGGAATCAAAAGAGGAAACTCAAAGATCGTTCTAAGCAGCAATAATCCAGCCCAGAGCTGGTATAGAGTTATTGCATTCCTCTTAGAAAATGTTAGACGCCATTAACAAGAAGACTCCAGAATGATTGTCCTAACTTCTCTCCGTCATTTTAAAATGAGTTAATCAGAGAATATGGATTTTTATGAGTTAATCTGAGGATATGGATTGTTAAGTAGATATTATTCTAGATTTCATTGAAAAAGCGAAGTGCTTTGTCAATGAAATCCAGGAAGATATCTACTTCACAATCATAGTCGATGGTACACCCAATATATTTCACACTGAGCAAATATTTTTTATTATTTGTTTTCTTCTCTGTGAAAGAGAAATTAATTGCTAGCAAATCAAAGAACCATTTTTGTGCGTTTAATGTGATTTCAAGGTACTGATAATTGAAACTACCGCAGTCAGAGACACGATCCAATGGATCCAATATGAGAAGTGCTTACTGATAATTGAAACTGTCGCAGTCAGAGACACGATCCAACGGATCCAATATGAGAGGTGCTTACTGATTATTGAAACTGCCGCAGCCAGAACCACGATCCAATGGATCCAATATGAGAGGTGCTTACTGATAATTGAAACTGTCGCAGTCAGAGACACGATCCAATGGATCCAATATGAGAGGTGCTTACTGATAATTGAAACTGTCGCAGTCGAAGACACGATCCAATGGATCCAATATGAGAGGTGCTTATAAAAGGAGCTCAAGCCTTAACAAAATTATTTTTAATAAATCTTTTTCTGTAACGTTCACATTCTGAATATTGCTGGTCTGTACGTAGTTGAATAAGTCATTGAGATCCTTATATTCTTTGAAAATGTTGAGTTTTAGTATTTTTTAGTACAATTTTTGTCGGATGAAAGTTTCTCACTGAAGTGGAAGGAGTTTTACTGCATAGTGTCAAGATGGAGCTCTATCAGCCTTTCAACGATTTTCAAATTCCTAAGTCAGTTGCTAACGGTAAACGAACTTTTAAAAAACTAAAACAATGTCATCAATATTTGAGCGGCAAGAATAGCTCAAAAAAATTCAATTTTAATCGCTTAATATATTTTCTTAAAGATTTTGTTGATTGATTTTTTGTTTATTAGTTTTGAAACTAATATTATAATCCTAATATCAATTTTGATAAATGAACAGTTTTTTTTTTGCTTATTTTCTTATATTATATAGCAAATATGGTTGTTGTTCCTGGATCAGTCCGATCATTTTATGATGTTATTTTAACCCGAGGTGCAGATTTATTAGCTCAACTAGTTACAAATTTAGGACGTGCAATAATTAAAAAATTAATAGTATGAATGCAAGGTTAAAAAATACAATTATTAATGGATTATGAAGATTAATGGTCAGTACCAAGCCAACATTGACAGACGGGTACCGTATGGTTTTTGTCTGGGCTTACGGGAACGGGATTTTGACGGGTAAGTGTTTTGGTTTCCAGACGGGTCCCATACGGTAATAAAATCAAGCATATTTGCTCGTTAGGGTTTTATCTGGTTTTTATCAGGGCCGAATAACCTGGGGATTTGACGGGTTTCCCATAAGGTTCCCAATAGGTTTAAAAAAAATCACAACAAAACTTACTCGATGGCTGCCATTTTTAATTCGTATTGTGCGTGAAATAAGATTAAAAATTTAACTTTTATGCATTATATTTTTTGAATACATTATATTTACATTGTAGTTAAAAAGAATTTTTTTTTGATGTGTTTTGTCACTGTAAAACTCAGTTAAAAAGACGTTGTTTTAAAATTTCATTTATTTATTATCATTATAAAAGAATTTTTATATATACATATATAAACATGTATACTATTTTTTAAATAAATTTACAAAGTTCAACATATTTGTTGATCATATGTTCCAGAAACTATTAAACATGTAGTAAATGTTCCATTGAGACACTTTTTGCATTTTTAAAATGATCAAAATATAAAGTTTTGTTTCTGCTAGTCACTAGCAGAAACAAACTTTATATTTTGATCATTTTAAAAATGCAAACAGTGCAAACTAGCAGCTAGTGATATAATTAGATAATAAATGGTTTGAGTTTAATCAAAATATTGGTTTAGTCAGAAACATTTAAAAAGAGCAAACAGACGAATAGAATGTAATGGATAGGCTATATTTAGGGAATTAAAAGCTTTTAAATCGTTTTTACAGATCCACTCTTTTCCATTGATTTTTCTATATTTTATGCAAGCAAAATGACTGATGTTAACGAAGTTTACCCACCGTCAGATATAAATATAGATATAATTAGATGTTTAAATGCAAAAATATGGCTTTATTGTTATGCATCAACCTCATTTTTTAATCATTGATATTTTTTGATTTTGATTTAAAATTGTACACTTGCAATATAAACAATAATTTCATAATATACATAATAATAACTTATACTTACAATACCTATACTTGTAAATACTTGTAATATAATAATTATGTTTATAATACTGATAAAAATTTTTATTGATATAAACTTTTGCATTCAAACTTTAGTTATAAAATTTAACTTAATAACTTTTAGATAACTAACAATAACTAAAAAAAGATGTTAGTTATTATATAGATTATAGCCATATGCTTATTTATTATAATTGAGTTACAGTAAGTTAAACAATATAAACTGTTAAGTTCCAGGTAATAGGTCTTATATGATATGTATCTTATGTATATCTTGTATTTTGCAGCATGTTAAAGAATATTTCTGCATGGTGCACTCTGACTGTTGACAATATTTGCATATTGATATGAGTAAAAGTGACTTCAACAACCAGAATGTGTTTTTGATAAATATTAATAATAACAGGTTAGTAAATATAATTATAGTAATAATGGCAATAACTTTTTATTATTAGAATTAGTGAGAGACTTATGTATAATAGAGCTACATTAACTTTGGGGGACAAATATAATAACTTGAGTAAATATTACCGTTGTTTATAACCTCGATTAGAGTAATGTAAGTAAATATTATTTTTATCTAAAGAATATTCGGCAAAAGTCAGTATTTCCTAAGTATTAAATATTATAAAAAAACATGTGTTTAAAAAAAAAAATTTAAATGTATCATAAAATGAAAAAATAAGTATTTGAGTATAAAAAAAACACATTTATTATTATAATGTATATACATCACATTAACTATGTTGTCTATAAAGTAGGGGTTGCAGCTAATATTTCAGTTTTAGCTATAAACTCATTAGCTTCAGATTAATGCTGAAGCTGATCAAGTCAGTTTAATCATCTTGATAGCTGATAGTAAAAGAGAATAATACTCCATAAATATTTTATATAAAATATATTTTTGTATAGGAATTTTCTTCAATGAAAATCTAAAATAGTGACAAAATTTAAACATACATGTAAATTTTAAATAAAATTTGCCAAAAGTTGTTGCTATTTATAAATGTTGCCATCAGAGCTTAGGCCTAGGACTTACAATATTAGGGGAACCAAATTATGTTTTTAGAAATTTTATTAAAAAGTGGTGCCCAAAAATCTAATTCCATTTTTAATTATGTTAAGGGGACCAACTATCTTTTGTTCAAAAAGAGTACACTTTGCAAGTATTTCATAGGTAAAAAAAAAAGTAGATAAAACGATAAAAAACTTAATTTTTTTTTAAAACATATTTTTCGTCAGAGTGGATTTTTTTTGCTAGATGAGGATGTTCGTCTAATAATGTAGCTGCATCCGAACATATTAAATTTCATATTAAATTTGACTGTTAAGACGGCATATAATATTTTTACAGAAAGTTGCAACTTCTCACTGCTCCAATAATCATTTCTTAGTGAAAATACCTTTTCAACAGCAGCATTACTGCCTGGACAACATAAAGAGTTTTCTGTTAAAACTTTTAAATTTTCATGTGGGATATGTTCTACTCTAAAATGCCGAAAGATTTTTACCCATCTTTTTTCAAGTTCTATTTTCTCATTGTTCCATTTCTTTAATTTTTCTTCATTTAAAAATAAATTTACTCTTCCAATTTCTTCAAAAAGAAAATTGTCATTAATAACAATATCTTTTACTTCCTTTATTACAAATTCGACTGCTGAAGAAACTTTTTTCCATTAAATTTTACTATTTATAAGGGTCCATTTAAAACAATGCTCTAAAGCTCATTATCCATTTTATATTCTTCTGCAAAATTTTTTTTGCAGAAAAATATAAAAAAACAAATTAAAGGCAAATTTAAATAAAAATATATATACATACACTACTATATACAATATTAAAGGCTATATTAAAGGCTTTAATATAGCCTTTAATATTGTATATAGTAGTGTATGTATATATTTTTTTTATTTAAATTTGCCTTTAATTTGTTTTTTTATATTTTTCTGCAAAAAATTTTTTCTGTCACTTTATCCTTCTGAACTTATGTGATTAAGTTTTTGTTTTCTCTTACATATTTTCTCACTCATCTTATCTCATCCGTTCATTTTCTCTTTTTTTTTTCATTTTTCTTAGCTACTCTTTTATATTTTTGTGTTAATTTCAACTTTTTAAATAGTATTGTTCCTTATACTTCTTTTTTTTATTACTTGTATTAATGTAGTTTTCTTTCTTTATTATTATTTTTTATTTTATTTGTTTATTTTATGAAGGTTTCGCTCCATTGACTTGTTTTTAATATGAGTGACACCGAACATAAATTTGTAAATTATAATTAAGTTTGTAATTTTTGATTTTATGGTTAATTAACCATAAGCGCATGCGTAGTATGTACAGTAAGGTTTTTGTTATCCTTTTATTTAATTAAATAAATGGATAAAAACTTTGCTGTACATACTACGCATGCCTCAAGACTGTCAAGCATGGCGTACATACTGCACATCAAAGATCAGCCTGGGGATTACATATGCAAATGTTGGATCCATCTCTTTTCACAAATGTAATTTTGACATTGTTAAAAAAAGAGGTCTGTAGTATCTATTTATCTCTCCAGGTTCATAATACGGCCTCTCAATTGTGTTGAAAATGGCAGCCATATGTGCGCTCAAAATTTAAATCATTGTCAAACTTGTATCTGGTGTTTGCCCTGTCCTCTGACGTGCTGGAAATGGCTAGCAATATGTGCGCAAGAAATTCAAATCACTGTTAAAATAATTTTAAATATTTAATTAATAAAATTGAAATAAAATAATATAAAAAAAAATGTTTTAGAAATACAAATGAGTACAAAATTATACAAATGAGTACTTTCAGAGTACAGGATTTGAAAAAAGTACGGTTTGTGAAAAAAGAGTAAAAAAACTCAGTAAATGAGAATAGCAGGTCACCTTAATTGTATACATATTTTTTTGGTAGATTTCAAAGTTCTTGCAAAAGATGGTTTTATCTATGAAAATATTGAGTTTAAAATCAATCATGCTGTTATCATATGTGATGCACCAGCTAGAGCATTTGTAAAGTGTATTAAAGGACATAATGGTTATAACTGATGTGAATGTTGTGCTTGGAAAAGAGAGTGGTGTGGCAAGATAATTCTTCTACATATTTCACTAATTTTAAGCACTGATTCAGATTTTTTGTTATTAAAAGCGTTCTGAACATCTTAGTGGTATGTTAAATTGAATTAAGTTTTGACATGGTGACAAAGTTTCCTTTAAACTTTATGCATCTAGTATGCTTAGGGGTATGTGATGACTCTTAACTTATGGTTAAATTGCCCAAATGAAGTAAAGATTTTTGTAAAGATAATTGTCTCAGATTACAGTCAATACTTTATCTGGCGGATTGTTCCAGATACGTCATTACATTCCAAGAAGTTTTTCTAGAAAAACAAAGTCTTAATTAGATATTAAAAAATGGAAAACAACTGAGCTTAGACTATTTATATTAAACACTTGACCAGTTGTTTAAAGGGAATGTTTAGCCAAAAATGTATTCAATTTTTTAGATTTTTCAGTTGTAGTTCTACTTTCATAATGTTTCATTTTGTTGAAAAAATATGTTAATTTTGCTTTTCAGCTACTTATTTTTATATGTGAACTTTATTGTGAGGATCAACTAGTGTACAATGTCCATTCATTAGCTCATATAGGAAATAATACAGTTAAATTTTAGGTACTAGATAGATGTCCCTCTTTCAAATACAAAACTTTTTCAGGTCAATTAAAAAATGTTTGTCTAGGGGGCTCATTTGCAAATTTAGGGGCCCTTTTACAAATGTAAGGATTTTTTTTTTTCAGGATTTTTATTTAGATTTTTATTTAGTTTTTAGGAATTTTGGGGCCCTTATGACAGTTTTTTTTTGGAATGGGGGGCTTGTATCTAGTAGCCATGGCACTGTATATAAGGTATACAAAATATATCTCAAATTATATACAATATAAATAAAAAAATATATTTATTTAATAATTTTATATAATTTATTTATCAGTAACTAAAGGAATGTTATCAATTTATTATATGAATCATAAGCATGTGCTTATCTATTACAAGTACCTTTGATGGTAAAAATTACTTTTTTTTGTCTGAAGAGAGTTGGAAGAAATGGTGAGAGTTTTAAAACATATTAAAATTAATGTATGTGTTACCAATAAAATTTAAAACTAACAGTTAAACTTAATTTTTTACAGTTCATATTGAAACGAGATATTGTGTAAAGAGGTTTTTAAAGAAGTCGTTTTAACAACAATGGAAAAGCTTCCGATTCCCGAGTTAAACGTGAAAGCATTTGAAACATGATTAAAGAATCGTTCAAAAGTTTGCTTAATTTTGACAGTGTAATTTTAATTACTATTTTTTTTTTGAAATAAACCAATCAATTTATATATAAATTTGCTTTTTCTGTAAAATTTAAACATTTAAACGTAGTTTTGCAAGATTTGCAATGGGTAAACCTCGTGGGACCCTCACGGGATACCCGGCGGGCATACCCATATGGGCCCCAGAAGAAAACCGCGGCCATGATCCGGCGGGTTTCCGATGGGTTTCCCATATGGGTCCCATTTGCAAACCCAAATGGGTCCCTTACGGTTTTAAAGTACGGGAATAGACTGGGACCCATACGGGATACCCGGCGGGCTAACCCATATGGGTCCCATATGGAAACCGTGGTCATGATCCGGCGGGATACCGTTGGTCTTCCCATACGGGACCCAGTCGACGACCCGTATGGGTCCCGTACGGTACCCGTATGTCAATGTTGGCTGGGTAATATTTTACTTCTTACCCCTCACAAATTAAGGTTTACCAGACAGAATAATGCAGAGTATTGATGATTAAGCAGACCATGGAAATTTAACTCTTTTACATAATGAATCATAAAGAGGCTTAACAACAAGACAAAATGCCGCAAGATCTCTCGCTTTTGGTGAAGAACCAGCATCCAATAAGTCTAAATACTGCACTCCTCTCGTTTTCAATTCTTCAACTCAAAAAACCCATTTAACCCTTAAAGCTTTCAAGATCAACTAGAATATGAAAATGTTTTTAGTGACCGTGCGCACTATATAATTTCTACTTATACATCAGCAACGTCAAATTACAGTCTAATTAACATTGCTCTTCAGTATGAAACCGTTTTAAATCCGCAGTAGATAGCGAAGTTTTCTATCGTAATGTAGGCCGCTTCGGAATCGTCTTTGAGATAATATAACTCCACCGTCAACTTTAACAAGATGCAATTCAAACTTCATGGCTTTTTAATGTAAAAGATTTATTTGCGTGCTAATATTCTACCCGCAGTCAACCAATTTTGCTCAATAGATTGAAAAATCAAACCCTGTCATGAATATCATAAAAGTTGATATCTTAATTAATAAACAACCTAATAGATTTTTTTTAAATTGTACGTTGCTATATAACTCTGTTCAAGAGTCATACTGCTGTTTATGCGGTTCTTTGAACAACTTTAGCAATGAAGAAATATGTTAAATAGAGAAGATGGCTTTCAAGCTGTAACACCAAACGGATTTTACTCTGGAACTCAATTTTTTGCAAATGACTTCAGATATGCAAGCGAGCTGCATTTATCAGGAAGTGGTCAAAAACTCCGTATGGTAGCTTATGCGCAAAGAAAAATATCTGCCTACCTAAAATAATGTGGGACGTAGAAAGTTTTTTTTACCTGTAAAAAATACGGACATGCATGAGTAAATGTTTTTAAAACGTCTCCTCTGCCCTTAGAAAGTCGGTCCGTGGTCTCTTGACCAAAGGAAAATCTTCCCTAGTCCCTATGCGTGAGGGAAAATGTTCCGCTGCCTCTGGATTTTATAATAGAATGGTCCATCATCTCTGGACATAAAGAGGATGGTCCGTGGCCTCTTGACCTAAGAAACTTGTTACGTCTGCTTTTTTTTTTAAAAGCAGACGTAACAAGTTTTTTTTACCTGTAAAATCTTAAACTGTTTTTTGTACCTGTTTTCATTATAGATGTTGAAAAGTTTTTGTGAGAAAAGTGTATCAGTTGCGGGAGTAAATTAGTTTTTATACTTGTAAAAAATTGAAACCCATTGAGACTCTGGGGGGATATTCAATATACGACGGATGGACAAGCTGGTAGTGTAATTATTATACTGCAACAATTATTCAAAATATATATCTCAAGTAGAAAACAAAAATGGCAAAATATTGGCGCGATATTAGATATCTTAGACAATCTTGGCCAAAAAATTTGATATTGCACCAATATCCCAGCCAACATTGCCAGACAGGTACCGTACGGTTTTTGTCTGGGCTTACGGGAACGGGATTTTGACGGGTAAGTGTTTTGGTTTCCAGACGGGTCCCATATGGTAAAAAAATTTAGCATATTTGCTCGTTTGGGTTTTATCTGGTTTTTATCAGGGCCGAAGAATCTGGGGATTTGACGGGTTTCCCATAAGGTTCCCAAAAGGTTTAAACTGATAATTAAAAAAATCATAACAAAACTTGCTCGATGGGTGCCATTTATAATTCGTATTGTGCGTGAAATAAGATTAAAAATATAACTTTTATGCAGTATATATTTTTTCTATACATTATATTTACATTATAATTAAAAAGAAATTTTTTTTGATGTGCTTTGTCACTGTGAAACTCCATTAAAAAGACGTTGTTTTAAAATTTCATTTATTTATTACCATAATAAAAGAATTTTTTTGTATTTTTTTTTATAAATAAATTTACAAAGTTTAACATATTTGTTGAACATATGTTCCAGAAACTATTAAACATATATTAAATATTCCATTGAGACACTGTTTTCATTTTTAAAATGATCAAAATATAAAGTTTTGTTTCTGCTAGTGACTGTAATAAATGGTTTGAGTTTGATCAAAATATTGGTTTACTCAGAAACATTTAAAAAGAGCATAGAGGCAAATGAAATGTAGTTGATAAGTTTTATTTAGGGAATTAAAAGATTTTAAATCATTTTTACAGATCCACTCTTTTCCATTGATTTTTATATCTATATTTTATGCAAGCAAAATGACTGATTTTAACGAAGTTTACCCACCGTCAGATATAATAGTCAGATATAAATAAAGATATAATTAGATGTTTAAATGCAAAAAAATGGCTTTATTGTTATGCATTAACCTCATTTTTTAATCATTGATATTTTTTGACTTTGATTTAAAATTGTACACTTGCAATATTAACAATAATTTCATAATATACATAATAATAACTTACACTTACAATACCTATACTTGTAAATACTTGTAATATAATACTTATATTTATAATACTGATAAAAATTTTTATTGATATGAACTTTTGCATTCAAACATTAGTTATAAAACTTTAATTTAACTTGATAACTTTAACATGAACAACAATAACTAAAAAGATAATAGTTATTATATAGATTATAACCATATGCTTATTTATTATAATCGAGTTATTGTAAGTTAAACAAGATAAAATGTTAAGTTCCAGGTAATAAGTCTTTTTGATATGTATCTTATGTATATCTTGTATTTTGCAGCATGTTAAAGAATATTTCTGCATGGTGCACTCTGACCTGTTGACAATATTTGCATACTGATATGAGTAAAAGTGACTTCAACAACCAGAATGTATTTTTGATAAATACTAGTAATAACAGGTTAGTAAATATAATTATAATAATAATAGTAATAACTTTTTATTATTAGAATTAGTAAGAGACTTATGTATTATAGAACTACATTAACTTCTGGGGACAAATATAATGGTTTGAGTAAATATTACCGTTGTTAATTACCTCAATTAGAGTAATGTAAGAAAATATTTTTATCTAAAGAATATTCGGCAAAAGTCAGTATTTCCTAAGTATTAAATATTATAAAAAAACATGTGTTTAAAAAAAATGTATCATAAATAAAAAAATAACTATTAGAGTATAAAAAAAAAAACATTTATTATTATAATTTATATACATTACATTAACTATGTTGTCTATAAAGTAGAGGTTGCAGCTGTTATTTCAGCTTCAGCTATAAACTCATTAGCTTCAGGTTAATGCTGAATCTGATCAAGTCAGTATAATTACCTTGATAGCTGATAGGAAAAGAGAATAATATTCCATAAATATTTTATGTAAAATATATTTTTATATAGAAATTTATTCAATGAAAATCTAAAATAGTGATAAAATTTAAACAAACATTTTAAAAATTTTAAATAAAATTTGCCAAAAGTTGTTGCTTTTTGTAAATGTTGCCATCAGAGCCTAGGCCTAGGATTCACAACATTAGGGGCCCAAATTGGGTTTTCAGAGATTTGTTTAAAAAGTGGTGCCCAAAAATCTAATTCCATTTTTTAATTTTCTTAAGGGGACCAACTATCTTTTGTTCAAAAAGAGTACACTTATCAAGTATTTCATAGGTAAAAAAAAAGAAGAAAAAACAATAAAAAACTTTATCTCCTTTAAAAAAAATATTTTTCTTCAGTGGATTTTTTACGCTAAATGAGGATGTTCCTCTAATAATGTTACCACATCCGAACATATTAAATTGCTTATTAAATTTGACTGTTAAGACGGCATATAATGTTTTTACAGAAAGTTGCAACTTCTCACTGCTCCAATAATCATTCCTTTGTAAAAATACCCTTTCAACAGCAGCATTAGTGTCCGGACAACAAAGAAATTTCTATTAAAACTTTTAAGTTTTCATTTGGGATATGTTCTACTCTAAAATGCCGAAAGATATCTACCCATCTTTTTTCAAGTTCTATTTTCTCATTGTTCCATTTCTTCAATTTTTCTTCATTTAAATATAAATTTACTCTTCAAATTTCTTCAAAGAGAAAATTGTCATTAATAACAATATCTTATACTTCCTTTATTAGAAATTTGACTGCTGAAGGAACTTTTTTCCATTAACTTTTACTATTTATAAGGGTCCATTAGAAACAATTCAATGCTCTAAAGTTCATTATCCATTCTTCGATATATTCATAGCAAATTTTAACTTCTTTTAAAAATTCATTTTTTATTCCAGGATTAGAATCTTCCAAAGGGGTCAGTTTATAGGTTTTAATATAGCCTTTAATATTGTATATAGTAGTGTATGTATATATTTTTTTATTTAAATTTACCTTTAATTTGTTTTTTTATATTTTTCTGCAAAAATTGTTTTCTGTCACTCTATCTGAACTTATGTGATAAAGTTTTTTTTTCTCTTACATATTTTCTCACTCATCTTATCTCATCCATTCATTCTCTCTTTTTTTTTTTTTTCTTAGCGTTACTCTTTTATATTTTTGTGCTAATTCCAACTTTTTAAATATTATTGTTCCTTATACTTCTTTTTTTATTACTTGTATTAATGTAGTTTACTTTCTTTATTATTATTTTTTTATTTTA